CTGCTTCATTTTTTTTTAATATTTTTATTGATTTATTATAGAGAGGAAAGGAGAGGGATAGTCAGAAACATCGATGAAGAGAAACATCGATCAGCTGTGTCCTGCACACCCCCCACTGGGGATGTGCCTGCAACCAAGGTACATGCCCTTGACCGAAATCAAACCCGGGACCCTTCAGTCCACAGGCCGATGCTCTGAGCCAAACCAGCTAGGACAATAAACACTTCTTTATTTTGTTTTATAAACACTTCTTTAAGTTCCAAGGATGTTAAGTTCCCCCCAGGACCATTTAGATTAAGGGCATATATGAGACCAGGTCTCTATAGCATGTTGGATTATTTTCCAGATACACCACCCATGTATTTTAAATACTTCATTCCCCTAGGATCTAAAATTTCTTAGCACAGTGATTTTTCAGCTTTGAAAAACTTTAGTAGCAGAACCTTTACTTCAAATATCATTTGGAACCTCCAAACCCCTATTTGAGGATCTGCTGCAGCTGAAGTGGGGCTGAGTTCCTAATCTTCACTAATTTTCCTTCCCCCTTGCTCCCCAAGGTGCTCCCCAGAGCATCTTTATAGACTCCCAAGAACCATGGTGTGAAAACAAATTGAATAGATCAGTGATTCTCAAAGTGTGGTCCCTGAACCAGAAGCATGAGCATCACCTGGGAATGTGTTAGAAATGTAAATTTTTGCCCTAACTGGTTTGGCTCAGTGGACAGAGCGTCGGCCTGCGGACTGAAAGGCCCCAGGTTCGATTCCAGTCAAGGGCATGTACCTTGGTTGTGGGCACATCCCCTGTGGGATGTGGTGTGCAGGAGGCAGCTGATTGATGTTTCTCTCCCATTGATGTTTCTAACTCTCTGTCCCTCTCCCTTTCTCTCTGTAAAAGATCAATAAAATATTAAAAAAAAAAAAAAAAAAGAAAGAAATGTAAATTTTCAAGCCTCTGTCCCAGATCTACTAAAGTCAGAAATTCTGGTACTGAGTCCCCTGCAGAGGAAGGACATGCTGCTATGGATGCAGGGTTTCACACTCTCAGAGGAACTGGGCCTTCACATTTGGATGTGACTATATATTTGGTGCAAACACAGGTTCCCGGCACCAGGTCTATTGCATTATGATCATATGAACTATATGGGGGCCACTCTGTTTCTTGCTTGAAAAAGACCTCTTTGTTGATGCCATCCCTGATCAGGATATCCTATGGATGGGGAAAAGCGAGGCAGTTACCTATGTGAACTGCGGGCCAGGGTAAGCTTCAGCATCAGGCTTCTCCAAGTAGGAAGTGGCAGGGTTCTGGATTTTCAATCTGGTTAGGCCAAGAAAGCATATAAAGCATGTGTCATGGGTGAAAGGGACGCATCCACTACTTGGTTCCTCATTCTGAGCTCCATAGGTGGTTAAGTCCCCAACTCGTGAGCACTCATCTTTTTCTGTGCCCTTCTGGGCCCAGATCATAAACCTACAGGTAAACTTAGTTTCCCTGACCTTACTAGCTTGTCAAAGTAGATGGAGTCTCCGTTGAAGAATTAGCTTAAATTACACCAGCCCTTGCCCACCTTTGGAATTCACATAGTATTGAAGCCATATAAAATAGCCTAACTGTGTTTGAAAGCCCCCAGTAAGATCACAGACTAATCTATTTTTGACATCTCCCATGCTTTCCCTTACTAATTCTAGGCCCCATCTTCATTACTCTGCTCATAAAGCTGCTTAAGAACTATTTACCCCTCCCCTGCTCCCATCCACTGAAACTGTGCCCACCATGGGAATGTTGATAAAGGTGCCAAGAGATTTACTTCTTGATCCCCCTAAAGGACCCAACCATAGAAGTGCTCACCCATGTGCCAAACATGCTCAAACATACCTGAAGATCCATTGGGGCTCAAGGTAACACATACCTACTGATTACGTAATGTCCTATGTCCCACAGTGTTATGATCTGAAAGCAGGCTCTGGCTGCTTTTAGGTGCCATGGCTCCATTTGAGGGGTTAGTGATAGGTAGAGGCACAGAGCTGGGTTTGACTGGCTCCCCTGTTACTGAGGGACAATGACTGGTGTTTTCCAGAAGTGTGCGCTTCAATCAGGAAGTGGCAGGAACAGCTGCTCCCTCTGGTGGTCTGTGCCTTCCACCAGAAGGGGGCGGGGGTCAGCTTCAGCAGTTTTGTACCATTCACATCTCTTAGAACTATTCCTGAGCGCAGGGTATTTAAAAAACAGTTTGTGAATCAGACAAACTCAAAATGAGGAATGTTCTGTTAAAAATGCTAATGTCATACAAGATGAAGAACGGTTGTGGAAATGTTCCAGGTTAAAGGAGGCTAAAAAGACATGATAACTAAAAGCAATACCTCACTCTGGGGTGGTGAACACACAATATAATATACAGATGATGTCTTATAGAATTGTACCCTTGAAACCTATGCAATTTTATTAACCAATGTCACTCCCAATAAATTCAATAAAAGCAATACCTCAACCTAGATCAGATTCTGCGGAGAAAGGGAATAAAGGACATTATTGTCTCAACTGACAAAATTGAAGTACAAACAGTAAATTAGATAATATTGTATCAGTGTTAAATGTACTGAAGTTGTTAACAACGCTGCAATGTAGAGAATATGCCTATTTTTAGGAAATGCACACTGAAATACTTAGGCATGAAGGGCTATGATGTATGCAATTTACCCTCATATGGTTCAAACACACACACACACACACACACACACACACACACACACACACACACGACAGGGAGAGAGGGAAAGAGAGAGGGAGAATGCATAAGGACAAACCATAAAGCAAACGATGTAAAATGTTAGTAATTGATGAATCGGGTAAAGGGAATACAGATGTTCTTCATACTATTTCCATTTTTGAAACTTTCCTGTAAGTTTAAAATTATTTCCAAGTAAAAATGTTTTTAAAATGTAAAAGACCATTTCTGTACAAGCAGTCAAAATCGGGTGGCACGTGCCTGACTGAACTCTCTCTTTGGCACTAGACACATCCCCATAAGCAGCCAAATACCTGGCATTAAGCTGCCACGTGGCATCCAAGGCCACCCATCTCTTGATTTCCCCTATTCTTTAAAATACCCAAAAATACCATTTCTCCTGAGGATTATGGGTCCTGGATGTTGGTGAAAATGTGGTGATGAAAGGAAGGAGTATTGGTTCCTTCATCCATCCAGTCAATGTTTTGAATATCTCCTATGTGTCAGGATGCAGCTCAGAATACAAGAGGAGACACAAGCCCTGTCTTTAAAAAGCTTATGAGCTACTCGGAGATGTGCCTACGACCATTTAAATAAATCTATATTTCCAAATGAGTTGACAATGAAAACTTGGGAAGCCCTGGGGGATCCCAGCCTTTTACCAGCGCCAGTAGATTCAGGCCCCCATAGCCTGATGCACATTTAGTTTTCCCCTAGGATTTCTTAGGTTATAGATACTTTTGTATCTCACGTTGAGAAGAAAAGAAGGAGCCACCAGTGCTAACCCCAACCTGGGTACAGCCCAACTGCGTTGGCTTAGCTCTCTCTGCAAGCTGCTCTGCCTTCTGAGAATCAGGAAAGAGGGCAAGGTGCCACTCCATTGATGTCCCTGGGCTGGTGGACCAGTAAGTTTTGGAGAACAGTCTTAACACTGATGTATGCCTATAGGTTAGTGTAACATACATCCACAATGCTTGTGGAAGGTAAAAACCACCGAACACCTTTATGTGGAAACCTGGTAGGCTGATGGCCCTGTGAGTCCCATCACTGGGGTGCTGAGTCATGAAAACAATGTGACAGTCTTCTAAATGGACAGAATAATGACTTTTGAGGACAGTTTTGGTTCTCCCCAAATCCTGGGTATGGCACTGATTGTGATGCCCTCTATACAGGGACAATAGTGGAGTCCTTTGCCTTGGGGTTCTAAGTAGTCAATGTTGTGGAAGGAGTTGTAAGTGTGTGTGTGTGTGTGTGTGTGTGTGTGTGTGTGTGTGTAACTGCATGTAACACCGTGTGTGCCCATTTTGTTCATGGGTCTCAGGTAGGACTGACACTCACCTCTGATGCATTCTGGTCCGAGTCCAAAGGAGTTTTAGATCCAAGAAATGTTTACTGAGCCCCTACAAAGTTCCAAGCCTTTTACTTTATACTTTGACACATTTTATATCATTTACTCTTTAACAATGACCCTTTAAGGTAGGCATTATCTGCATTGTACAGATGAGAAAACAATTGAAAAGAGGTTCATTGATTTGCTCAAGTATATCATACAGCTTTGTTAAAAAAAACACTCATTCACAACACTCTTAGCTGAGGACTGTCTGTGTCGGTTGCTTATCTTACAGTATTTCTTGTTTCCTCTTCTCCTAGAGCCCTGGCTCCCCTTATAAAAGCCCCCTTCTTTCTTCTCTTTCACTGGCCCTCGTGGGCTTTCTTTTTTTAATACTGCATTTAATAGCACAAAAAATCACGAATACAAAGAAACTGGCAAAGGTGTTTGTCAATGAGATATCCCTGCCTCCTCCACTTTTCTGCTTTCATACCCATATATGTAATGGGCTACATCTGTATAAACTTTTCATTTCCCCCCCAAAAAACACATAACTGTTATGATTGGTCAGTTGAAGCTGAAACACCCATGGAGAAAGATGTTTTACAGTTACAAGGGCACAAACCCCCCGCACCACCCCCCTCCCACCCCACACTTTCCCACACAATCTTTTGGAGGAATATAGGATATGTACCAGTGTCAGGATCTCCCTGCCTTCCTCACCGGAGCATTCCTGCAATTTCATTTTCTTTTCAGTGATTGTTTAGACTAGCGCCTCTTCTCCCGCCCCTCCTACTTCTTTTCCACTCAGGACCTCTTAAGACACTGGGTACTGTTCAGTTCTTACTCTGTCAGGCCCATGGGCCACGCAAGTAGTCCTTTAAATCTCGATGCCAGTTGTAATATAGATGTCGCCATCTTCCGTTACAGGTAGATCGGTGTGTCGCTTCAGTAGGCTTGTGTATTCATTTCTTTCACTTTTTCTGATTCGTGTTCCAGGACCTGTTTGTGATAGAAAAGCAAATACCCTTCACTGTCTAGAACGTCCTTAATACTGGCCTTGGTGATAACGGCATCATCACACTTGAACCACTGGTCTTTGTGGTGCCGGATGAAGCTGGTGTAGTGGCCGCTCTCCAAAGTCCCTTGGTGATTCACCACGGCAAACAAGGAATACTTATTCTCGTCGGTTCCACTACCGGTCGGCAGCTGCAACTGTCCATTCAGCCTGCTCTCTTTACTGGAGGCCATAAAGGGCGTCATATCCAGCTCCAACGGAAAGGATATATACGTGGTGATCTTGCGTCTCTGTTTAGCCGAGTGTTCGAATCGTTTGAAATGGAAACAGGCAACAACAGGCAACTTATTCATCGTGAGCTGTTTGGTAGATTCCTGGTAACTTTGACAACTACCGCACTTGATTTTGGCACTGCTTCCCAGGTGCTCTGGCCTTGTAAACCTTCGCAAGCAGTCCGTGAGCGTGGTGGTTCCTGGTACGTGGCTTTCCCCATTCACGCTGCTCTCCCTCCCTGGGCTCATGGGCCAGGAGGCGCAAGAACCAGGCAAGTCCAAACTGATGTCCCAGCACGGGTCTATGGTGGTGGAGACGCCGTGGCAGGCCTGACAGGTGACATCAGACTGCAGGCCACCTGTGAAGATTTGGTCTATGATGCAGTTACAGTGGTTGGGGTTGTTGGCAGCCTTCCCAACTTCATCACCTTTGCAGTGCCGGTGCAAAACATCAAGCGCTGCGATGAGAAACTCGTGGGCATCCTGCTGCCGGTACCCTGCTAAATGGCGAGCGTGTATCCACACCAGGTGCAGCAGTTTATAGGGAACGTGAGGAGAAGGGTTTCCAGAATACAACTCCCGAAACAGTGAAGACATCTCACACACCAGGCACAACTCCGGACTCGGCATTTCGCATCTGTGCCTGTCGGAGAGGAAGAAATCTCTCAGGATCGGCGTGTGGGTGAGGGCCTGGACGATGCAGTTCATAAAGCACGTGTTGCCCAGATTGATGAGTCCTCTCAAGCCGATGGTGAAGCTGGAGGCGATCCTTCTTCTCCTCGGGTTGTGTCCCAGCAGTTCCAACTCGGGCTTGGTGGTCTCCCAGGTGGGGTACTTCTCCCCGAGGCCAGGCACTGAACACGGCTGGTAGGACACGTCCGTCGAGGTGGAAGCTTGCAATCTCAAGGCTTCCCCTTGCTCTTCTTTGGCAATTTGCTCAATGTCTTTGTCGTACACATAGTCCTTGCACATGAAACAGTAGATGCCTCCGTAGTAGAGGTCTACCGCCAAGTTGTGTTGTTTTGCCTGGGCGTGCTCATGGATGTGCTTCTCCGTGAAGCAGCCAAAGAACACACAGGACAGGCAAGAGTGGAGTCTGTTCAGGTGGGTGCCGCACACATGGCAGATGCACGACTTCGCCTTGCTCTTCCTGGTCTCCGGGGTCCGACACCACACGAAGCACTGGTAGATCACCCGCAGTCCCTGCCTCCAGTTCTCTCCCACCTTAAAGCTGTTCACGTGGGAACAGCCCGGCGGACCCACGGCGAAATCCACATCCAAGCATCCGCCCCCAGGGCCGCGCCGGGGCCGGGGACGGGGCGGGGGCCGTGGCCTAGGCTGCGGTGGGGTACGAACTCGGGTCTGAGGCCGCGGCCGGGGTCGGCGGCGGGGGGCACGGCTGCGCCGCGGAGAGGGATCGGGGGGCCGCGGGGGATCGGAGGGAAGGGAGGGGGGAGGAACCTCTTCGCTGCTGCCTCCGCCGCCGCCGCTGCCGCAGCTCCGCGCCGGGTTCTCATCCTCCGGCTCCGGCTTCGGCTCCTCTTTCGGCTCCTGCTCAGCCTCCCGTGCCGGCTCGGATTCGAGCTCCAGCTCCACCTTCCCGGTGGCGTCCACCTTCCCCGCTGCCTCCACCTTCCCGGTGGCGTCCACCTTCCCCGCTGCCTCCACCTTCCCGGTGGCGTCCACCTTCTCCGCCGCCTCCACCTTCCCCTCCACCTTCGCTTCTGTCTCCACCTTTCTCTCCGCCTTCTCCGCCGCCGGCTCGGCCGTCTCCGCCTCTTCTACCTCCTCCGCCTCCCCGGGCTGCGGCTCCTCCCCCGATCGCCGGGTTCGGGCGGCCGCTGGGCGTGGCGGCGCGGGGGCCACGCAGACCCGGTGTCCCCGCCCGGCCTGGGGGTGCGCGGCGGCGGCGGCGGTGGCAGCCGGACCCGAAAGGGACTTTCACTGAAGGAGGCGGCGGCGGAAGCAGGCGACGCCTCCGGGATCCTCCCGCCCAAGCCCCCTAGCGGAGGCCGCTCCTGCAGCCAGGCCCGGCTTCCTTTAATTCAATATTTCCCAAACTTGCTCCTTCCCGAGAATCACGTGGGGAGTGTGTTAAAATCACAGATTCCTCGGCTCCGCCCGCTAGCCCACCGAGTTAGAATCTCCAGGGGAGGTGCTCCGAGACCTGTATCTTGAACGGGGGGGCCCCCGGAGGATTCTTAGGAGCAGGCAAGTTTGGGAAACACAGCTCTAATTCATTGAGGCTGGCGGGAAGGGGGGCGGGGACCGCGCAGTCTCTTTAAGGCGCTTCCAGTTCTTGGCTCCAATCGCCGCTCTGACCCCCCTCGTCGTCTCCTCCCCACTCCTCGTCCTACCCTCCGTCCGGGCGGCTGTCCCCACCACCGCGGGGCCGGGGACACAGAGATCACCAAGTCCAGAAATGTCTCTGGGGCTGTGAAATGTCCCTTCGGAGTCCAGGTCCCGAGGAGCGCAGGGGAGAGCTGCGATAGAACATCATCTCTGTGGCTGAGCCTGCCCCTGAGCCAGTCCGAAGCTCTCTTTCCACCTCAGGTTCTCCCCCTCCCCTTCCCCCTCTGCCCCATGAAGCCCCAGATCCATTCTGGGACCCGCCTGGACCTCAGACTCCCAAGGGCAGAGCTCCCAAGGCTGCTGGACCCGAAAAGGCACGTCCCTTTGCCCACTGATCGGCGCTCCGCAGACGCTCTGCCTGCTCCTCGCCTCTTCCTCTGGACTCCCAAAGCGGCTGGACTTCTGGCCCAACAGATGCTGAGCAGCGGGGGGGCCAGGGAAGGGGGAGGAGGGAGGAGAAAAGGAGGAGGGGGCGCGGCATCTGAAGGGACCAGGCATAACAAGGCCATGCTTACCGTTGGCACCTCGCCTATGGCTGAGAGAGAGGCCCGAACTACAGGACCACACCACCAGACCCTCAAGCACTAGCAGGTGGGCGTGGGGAGGGAATAGGCCCGGGTCTGAGAGCTACTGCTGGCAATGGGGAGCAGCACTACCGGTCACACGAGAACTGAGCTCCGAACAGGTGTCTCAGATCTTGGGCATGTTGGAGGATGTCATGGAGGGGCCACAGGTGCTGGACGAGGGAGAGCAGCTCAGGGCTGGCATCAGGATGGGACTCAGAGGAGAAGTATTGGCCATTGTTGGAGGATCAGGGGAGAGTGTGTTCTAGGAGGAGTCAGTCCCTGGTTCCTGTACGCACTGCTGGGATTGTGGGGCTGTACTACTGAACGATACCCTGGCAGAGTTCTCGGTTAGCACGGGATATCACACCTCCACCTGGCCCGCTCCTTCAGGGAGGAGGGGTGCTGAGGCCGCCGAGGGTTAGCAGTATGAATTGGTTGTCAGGAATCAGGAGTCCTTAAGGAGGATAGTATGCCTGGTTCCAGTACAGCAGAGGTCCCCAGAGCTGTCCTAGTGCGTCCCCTTCCTAAGCTAACTCTTGCTTCAATTCCTTGAAGCACCAGACCATCTTTCCAATAGGGCCTGCCCTTTGTGGCCTGCAACCAGAGGAACTGCAACTAGCTCAGCCACTGAAGCATTCCTGCTCCTGCTCTTGCTGCTAAAAATGACAAAGGTCACGGAGGGGTGGAGACCAGGAGGTACTCTCATTCCACTTCCACAGAAAAACAGACATCAAAGAGAACTAGATCTCTGTGTACCTGCGACTGGCCACTAATGAAATCACCATGGCAACCCAACTGCCTTACTGATCAACTTCCTGCAGCAGCCCTCTGGTCCAGCATGTTCTAGAAGGGGAGGGAGGGGAGTTCTTCCATCATTTACTCAACAAGTGTCTATTCAGCTCCAATGCAGAGGCAGGTGGTGTACCAGGAGCTGTGGGCATAGCACTGAAGGATACAAACTTGCCCAGGGCCAGCGTCAGGGCTGCGAAGTATCTAGGTCACCAGCAGAGAAGAGGCACCAAAAACAAAAGAATCAAGAAGGAATATCAGAAACAGTTTGATATTCTTTTTAAACAGTTTTCCTCCTTGGGAAAAGTTAGAATTTTGCTGCGCTTCTTTACGTTCCTTTTCTGATTGCATGTTGCTTTTGCTCTGAATCACATGTAAGGGTGTCAGCATAATCTTTTTTTCCCCTTTCTCACTTCCTTTTAATTTTAACTACTAGAGGTCTGGTACACAGATTTGCACACCGGTGGGGTCCCTCAGCCTGTCCCTCAGCACCCTCTCCAATCTGGGACCCCTTGGGGGATGTCCGACTTTCGGGACCGCTGGCTCCTAACCACTCACCTGCCTGCCAGCCTGCTCGCCCCCAACTGCCCCCCCTGCCAGCCTCCTTACCCCCAACTGCCCCCCCTGCCAGCCTGATCACCCCCAACTTCCCTCCCCTCCTGGCCTGATTGCTCCTAATCACCTCTGCCTTGGCCCTGCCACCATGGCTTTGTCCAGAAGGACGTCCAGAAGGTCTCCCGGTCTAATTAGCATGTTACCCTTTTATTAGTATAGATAGATGGGTCTTGATTTGAAGACAGTAAGTTTGATAGTTTCTAAAAGGGCACAGTATAATATAATCAGGGAGACAAATATATATGGTATGTAATTGACCAGACAATTCCGTAAGTTTCTGTACAATTTGTTAATGAACTGGATCTTTTTTTTTTTTTTATGAACTGGATCTTGAAGATATGTGAGCCCAGCCAGTGTGGCTCAGTGCCTGAGCATCAACCTATGAACCAGGAAGTCATGATTTGATTCCTAGTCAGGACACATGCCCAGGTTGTGGGGTCAATCCCCAGGAGGGGTTGCAGAAGACAGCTGATCAATGATTCTCTCTCATCATTTATGTTTCTATCTCTCTCCCTCTCCCTTCCTCTCTGAAATAAATAATAATAATAATAATAATAATAATAATAAATAAAGATATGTGAGTCATGAATATAATTTCCAGAATAATGGTTATTTAAACAATTGATTGCTTTTTTATCTTTTATATGTATACTTTTTCATTTTGAGGAAGTAGATCTACTAATCCTGGAGCATTATCTAATAGTTTTTTTATGCCTATGCTTGAATGGGTCTGGATTCAGTCCTGGGCAAATGTCACCATCTCCATTTCACAAAGACTCAACCCAAGGCTAGTAGAAGGGGCTGCTCTAAGATGAGACCCCTCCTCATTACAGTCACAGTGCCTGGGATTGAATACAACTCTGACCACAAGGTGGCAAAAGAGTATATTACACTCCCTTGAATGTTTATTTTGTATATTTACATAAAAAATGGCTTATATAAAAACACTCACTAAATATTTTTTAACTCGGCCAGTGTGGTTCAGTGATTGAGGGTCAACCCATGAACCAAGAGTTTACCATTTCCCCAGTAGGGGGCGTGCAGGAGACAGCCGATCAATGATTCTCACCATTGATGTTTCTATCTCTCTTCCTCTTTCTAAAATGAATAAAAACATATTTAAATTATATATATATATATATATATATATATATATATATATATATATATATTCACATTGTGCTCTACACATGTGACATCTAAAATTTTGCATCAAAAATTTCAATTAACTGGAAATAATGTGATTTCTGAAAAAAATTGACATTCACAAACAAAACTGTTACATCACAATTTCACATGAAACCAATGAAACCTAGATATCTTAATGATTTGAGAGCCACCATCATCTGTTTTAAAAATTAAAGAAAAAAAATAAAAAATAAAATAAAAATTAGTTAAGCTCTTCTTTGATAGTTGGAAGTTGTATGTTTTTCCTTTTCTTCCTGAGTTTTTAATTCCTTTCTATTCTAACAGAATTTTGTCCCAATAATATATTTTTTCACTTGAAATTATTTTATTGATTTTCCTATTTCCGGGTAAATAGGAAATAGAATTTAAATAGCAAAAAAAATTTTAAATTATTTTTAATGTTTCTGTGATCCTAAAGCTCTAAGTAAGTGCTGTTTAAAAATTTACTCAGTGTGTCTCAGT